TGTGTTCCTGTTAGGGAATGTGTCCAGTGAATCCAGATGTTTGGGATTCTCCTGTAACCAGACTTAGAAATGATTGTGACCCATCCTACAGGGGTTCTGGGTACCAAAAAAAAGGTCTTCTGAAAGAGTAGGATGTTCTCTAAGGTAACTTGACATCTCACTAGTCCCAATAAGTATTTTCATTTATGTTTTAAAAATATTTATCAGACTTTGAGAATTTTTTACAATGCATTTGGACTCCTTCCTTATCTGCCACACTTTCACCACTAACCTACCTTTTGTAGTCTTTGTTTTTTTAAAACCAAGGGTTCCTGCCTGTGCATTTTGCTTTGTCTTGATGTGCTGAGATACAAACTAGAGTGTATGCTCTTGGAAAGAAGCATCTTTAATGAGGGGGTTGTTATCTCTCTGTTGTCCATAGATTTATGCTGTGTTCCCTTCTTTCATCTCACTCAAGGCATTTTACAGCATCCATCTATGACAACATGGGAATGTAGATTAGTCTCTGGCACATGAGTTTGCAGCTAGAGGATGATGTTTGAGTTTGGATCTTGGATGTGTTGTATATTAGTAAAAGTCACCTTCATTAGGTCACTGAATTATATGTAATCAACACAAATAATTTGACTGATTAGTGGGATTTGCCAATATAAGTAAGATTATTTGTTTAATGCATTTATCATTGTTATTTCTTCCTCAATTGATACAGAAGATCCCACTAGACCTACATCCAGTGATGAGGAAGACAGCACATCCAAGGAACAAGGACCTGCAGCTACAAGTCCAGGAACCTCAGGTAATTCCAAACATGGACCTGAGTATCTGAAATGTGCATGTATCAGTCCCAAACCACAGAAGCCACGAGATCTGGCTTGAGTGGGGGAGCATGGGCTTGGAAATTCTTAGCAACCCAATGGCAATAAAGACCAGACACTGGCATCTTGTTATCTTTAGAGAGCTCTCAGTTCCATGCTGCAAACTGGAGACTCCCATTTATTCCAGGATTTTCCTCAACTGCTTTCTAACCATTCTCTGGTGTTAGCAGAGGCCATTTCTCCTGAAACTCTCCCTAAACTCTCTCAGAAGATACCTCGTAACCATTTGTCCTCACAAAGACCTCACCCTCTACCTTGATGCAGGCCTGTTCAAATGCTTAGTTCTGTAGAGATGCAAAACTAGGGGACATTCTCCACTGAGGCCATGCCATTCAACATCGAATCAGCTAGTATCTGCAATACATGGCAGACCAGAGCTCTGGAGGTTTGGACCCCGAGAAATTCTCTAATAGAATTTTTCTCAGCTCCCGACAGTGCACAACCAATGAAGATAGAAGTGGCATGGCCTTGTATTTTGAAAACAGCAGGAAATGTGTGAAATGCTACTTTCCATAGATGCTTGCACAGACCATTTCCTGCTTCATCTTAGCAAGTCTACTGCATATAGTAGAGTCAGCTCAAAAGGGCCAAGTGTCAGAGACAGTGAAGTTATCTACAACAATTCCAGAAAAACAAGGACCATGTCAACAGCTATTAAGGATATGGTCATTTGGGACAAAGTCATTTCAAAATTGTGCTTAAACATATACTGTGACATTTTCAAAATTTTTCATTATTTAATTTTATTTCTTAGTTCATGTTATGAAGGCTGCCTTCAAAGCTTCAGTCCTCTGCAGACTAGAATGTTTATAAAACTATTGTTTTGTTGCACAGAGCTTGGGAACTAGAAGCTTGGGTGGAAATTCAGGGCTTGAGTTTGGATCTCAGGCTTATAATAAATCAATGTGGCCCAGGTATTTTACCTTGTATGGTAAAATAGGATTTTCTGCTGTGGATATTGATGAGAATGTTCAATTGGTTGATAACTTCTCAAATAATTTTAAATGCCACTTTCTTTTTAATTGGTAACACAGCAGGCGCTACCACACCCACATCAAGAGGTAAAGAAAGAAGCACACCTGGAGAACACAGCTCTAGAGTTACCAGTTCAGAAGTGTCAGGTAGGCCAGGGGTTGCACATCTATGCCTATAATGGGGCAAGTGTGACAGTGAGATATAGGGGATATGATGAATGTGCACAAATACAATTGTGCCCACATTTCCTAATAGGCCATACAAAAATAAGAATATGTTGAAACACCACTACCTAGTTAGTCAGGGCCTAAAGTAGGGTAGGTAGGGACTTCAGGTCATGCATGTGAGCACAGCAGGACTAAGAGTGTGAGCACAGTGAAAGAGTAGGATGTTCTCTAAGGTAACTTGACATCTCACTAGTCCCAATAAGTATTTTCATTTATATTTTAAAAATATTTATCAAACTTTGAGAATTTTTTACAATGCATTTGGACTCCTTCCTTATCTGCCACACTTTCACCACTAACCTACCTTTTGTAGTCTTTGTTTTTTTAAAACCAAGGGTTCCTGCCTGTGCATTTTGCTTTGTCTTGATGTGCTGAGATACAAACTAGAGTGTATGCTCTTGGAAAGAAGCATCTTTAATGAGGGGGTTGTTATCTCTCTGTTGTCCATAGATTTGTGCTGTGTTCCCTTCTTTCATCTCACTCAAGGCATTTTACAGCATCCATCTATGACAACATGGGAATGTAGATTAGTCTCTGGCACATGAGTTTGCAGCTAGAGGATGATGTTTGAGTTTGGATCTTGGATGTGTTGTATATTAGTAAAAGTGACCTTCATTAGGTCACTGAATTATATGTAATCAACACAAGTAATTTGACTGATTAGTGGGATTTGCCAATATAAGTAAGATTATTTGTTTAATGCATTTATCATTGTTATTTCTTCCTCAATTGATACAGAAGATCCCACTAGACCTACATCCAGTGATGAGGAAGACAGCACATCCAAGGAACAAGGACCTGCAGCTACAAGTCCAGGAACCTCAGGTAATTCCAAACATGGACCTGAGTATCTGAAATGTGCATGTATCAGTCCCAAACCACAGAAGCCACGAGATCTGGC